TTGAATTTTAGAGCAGTGTTTTTAATTTGTCTCCGGTAAATATGAACTGAAAGAAAAAAATCCTGAGCCCTATTTTGTACATATTGTGCTTAACATGTGTGCGAAAATTTTGTTCTTCACTCTATTCTGGTAATGAGAAGATGACTCTAAAATACCATTTTACATAGCAAGAAATTCAAAATTTGTGTTGGTAACAAATTAGGTGCTGGAAATTCATAAAAATTTTGCCTTGCCAGCCATAGAAGATATATCCTTATAATAAAAACAAGTGATTGATTCGATTCATTCGTCAATAAAACGTTTAATCTTCATTTAGTAGGCAATACCCGTGCAAAGTTTAGAGTATTCCTTAAAAAGACAGTTTTGCCCGAATATAGCTTGCTGAAATAAAATATACGATGAGAGCTTATAATATAAAATTATAATGCATGTGGTTAAAAACAGCTGACAGGAATTGGGAATTTTACATATCGCTCTCCGCGTGATTGACAGTAAAGTCTGTGCAATCTCATTTTTTCTGTATAAGACGCTCTAAAAGATCATGGTGGCAAATGAAGTGATTGCGAAACGGATAATTTAGTGTACACGCGCGGAAAAAAACACGCGTAATGTGCTTAAGCGTGACATATCTAGCACAGCCGGGCATGGCTATATCTTTTACTGATGGTAGGCAAATGATATCGGGAGGGTAAATGTACATAAGGGGTCGAGGGGGCAATGAGGCTGTCGACGTATGTAAATGTTGGAGACTGTGAGCGTGGAGAGGAGAATGTGGAAGTTGTGAGGCGCAATGAAGATTGGGGGGAGGCTAAAGGCAAGATTGGAGGGAGAGGGGAGGCGTTGGCAGGATGTTGAGTTAGGGTTGCGAGGGTGTGAGGAAAGATGGGAAGGTGTGAGGCGAGGCTTTGCTGAGGGTGTTGAGGAGATTGGAAGGTGTGAGGGAGGTGGGGGATGCGCTGTGATGACGCGCAGGCAAAGAAGACGCGTTGAGATGACATCGTGCTACCACACTCTGACGTTGACCATTATGTCCAGCGACAGTAGCGCGACTCGCAATATCAAATGACGTCCAAGATGGCCGCCAGCAGTGATACGTACCGCTCCAGTGTTGAGGACAGAAGTATTTTGGTACTTGCACCTAAGCTTTAAACTATATACTAATATATCCTATGATGCGACTACGTGCTGGATGGAGGACGTATTGTAGTTTCAGACTGGACTCAGCAGCGGTCCTGTATCACGCGATTAGTAGAGCTGATTCTATGAGCATATTCACCCATCTAATCTCTGCAGTCTTCCACCGCTATACTGGGGTATGTGTTGGTTATGCGAAGCAAATTTTACACCGTTACTCTGGACGTTTTCACTTATCTAGCTTCACTTGTATTACCGACTGTGCTGCGGAAGGGCCAGCATATGGACAACATATACATCACGTACTAACCATAGAACCCAATAAACGTAATCCCGAATCAGATAATGGAATTACTAATTCCCCTTAGATTGTACCGATAGCATATGTTAAGAGCTGGCTACAGACTACACACACATCTGTGTCGTGTATGTAATAGCTAGGAGTTTTTTCAAGGTCCCTCTATATAAAGGCAATCTATGTACTAAGAGGGTCCCTCTATATAACGGCACTCTGTACAGCTAAGGTCCCTCTATATAAAGGCAATCTATGTACTAAGAGGGTCCCTCTATATAACGGCACTCTGTACAGCTAAGGTCCCTCTATATAAAGGCAATCTATGTACTAAGAGGGTCCCTCTATATAACGGCACTATGTACAGCTAAGGTCCCTCTATATAAAGGCAATCTATGTACTGAGAGGGTACCTCTATATAGCGGCACTCTGTACAGCTAGGATCCCTCTATATGGCGGTACTCTGTGCAAATCTGTACGTTTGACTGCCTTCCCGTTCAACGCACGCATACCATCAGCGGGGTGATCAGCAGCAAACAACAACTATAGCGTTGCCCGGTAAAGTCTGTGCGCGCCCTGCGGTATGTCGGTCACACACAGCTTTGCTAGTATTTACTAAGTAAGGCCTGGCGTGGTATTAGCCGGCTGTACATGTGTACCGGAGACACAGTTTCTTGTTCGGGGTCTTGTTTGTGTTCTTGTTCGGAGTGTATTGCTAGGCTGTTTTCCTGCCAGCTGTGGTTTTAGTAAGAGTGGTAAACAACGACGACATGTTTAGTGCGTGCTGGTTGCGCGTCTAACGGTTATATAATATTTAATCGAGAAATTATTTAATTTTTATGATGTAAATGTATATACACACACACACATATATATATATATATATAGATAGATGCAAATATGAAATGTGTGAATTGAAAGTTAAAAGATTTTATGATGCGGGTTTTCTTCGGGGATGAGGGGGGGGGGATCATCAACAGACGCAGAAATAAAACAACGTAAAGATGGCGGCGTTTGTGACAACCATGTTGTATTTTCCAATCTCGTAACGCTAGCGATGTTGGAAAATCCAGTCCTCTCACTT